ATTCTAAGCCATGGTTTGATTGTCTCATTTGCTCCCCTGTTTTTGTATGTATGTATTTAGGAAAATACCTATCAGTCTTTCACATTAAATTCCAGTGAAATATATTTATGTTTGTGGTTGTAATGTGACAAAATATGGAAAAGTTCAAGGGGTATGAATACTTTTGCAAACCACTGTATATATATATTTAAAGGGATATTTCAAAAACACTTGGAGTGTGAACCAAAGTGTATTGTTGCCATCTTAAAACATCTCCAAATCTTAAAACATTCATAGTAGTTCATGCAAAAACTGTTTTGAAATTTCTTGCATTACAATCGTTGTACATTGTATGGTTGTTTTGGCAGAAAAAATGTAAAATATCAGCTTAAAGTTTTGTAAACTGGAGCTGATTTAAGACAGCTGAAGTCTGTTGTGATATTTGCTGGACTCGGACTAGTCGTTGGCTCATCACTTAGGTAAATGTTTAACCGTTTCTCCAAACTGAGACAATTTAAAAAGCTACAAAATCTACAACAAATAAAATGTGAATTTATAATTTTCCTGTGAACCCCACTTCAAAATGATCAGAACTTTCATTTAATTCTTTACCGTTTTAAACAAAGAAGAATTTTACTTTTTTGTCTCTGAGTCCATTTAATTTATTTACACAGTTTAATCTCATTTAAACATTTGTCTAAAACAAGTTTATTGATGAAAAAGTTACAATTTAATGTGAAGTGCAAAACAAACAAAATAGGATTACTTGTAATTTGTACATGTTATCATTATATAATAAACGTCTTCGACAAAAACAATTTTTGCTTATTTTTTAATATAGGACATAGGTTTATAATGGTATTTTTCTCAAATTTACCACTTTATTCTTAGACAATATTTTTTCTTGTTAATTTAAGACTTCTAAATCTGAAATTGCCAGAATATATTTTCTTCAGAATTGACCTCATTCCTGTTTTCTGTCCTAATATTTATTTATCTACAACAATAAGCCAAACATTAACTTCTAAATGTACAGTATACAATATGATATTTCTTTTTTTATATTTTTCAAAAAATGACTCAACATCTGGCCCCAGGATTGTGGATGTTGGAGGCCAGCGTTCTGAGAGGAGGAAGTGGATCCACTGTTTTGAGAAAGTCACGTCCATCATGTTCCTGGTGGCTCTCAGCGAGTATGATCAGGTCCTCGCTGAGTCCAGCAACGAGGTGAGAAGCAGGCCTACAAAACAATTATTTCCTTTTTACAATATCTTTTTATTTCTGTGCATGGGATGAGAAAGAGGCTCCCTTTGGAATGATAAAAACAAATCCCAGTGAGGGACACAAAAGGGAGATTGTTTCTTTTGTTCAAAGCCAAACGCGTTAGGAGGAAATGATGACCCAGATTTCTGCAGAGTCCAGCACCAGCCCGATCTCTCTCTCTCTCTCTTTCTCTCTCTCTCGCACTCTCACTCACTCTCTCGCACTCTC